AAACCATTTCAGGTGACTACCTCTTGAAGCTCATGGAGAGAATGCCAAGAGTGTGCAAAGCAGTAATCAGAGCAAAGGGTGGCTATTTTGAAGAAACTAGAATATAAAACATGTTTTCAGTTATTTCACCTTTTTTTGTTAAGTACATAACTCCACATGTGTTCATTCATAGTTTTGATGCCTTCAGTGAGAATCTACAATGTAAATAGTCATGAAAATAAAGAAAACGCATTGAATGAGAAGGTGTGTCCAAACTTTTGGCCTGTACTGTATATATAAATATTTTTTTAAAAAATAAGTAAAAAATATTGTTACATCCAAAATTATAAGAATGTGTAGCCTATTATTTTTGTTTTTTGATTCGTGAGTATTTTAAATACAAAATTACTCCACTCAAAAGTATTTTGTTACAAATTACATTTGCTTTTTATTGGCCTTATCAAATACAAATTACAAAATACTCAAATGTAATTGAAATACATATTTTAAATATAAGTAATAGAAATACTGCCCATCCCTGGTCTTTGGTTTAGATGAGGTGGCTCACCACATCCATGAAACCCTTGAATTTCCACCAGGTGGCACTAATTGGTTACTTTGGTAATTATGTGCTGCAGTGGCCCCTGCTGTTGCTATGAGACTAATTCCAAAATAATTCAACCCTGACCCGAAGAGTTTTTATCACTTTCATACTCACAATGATGTGCTACGTTAGTTTGGTACCCCAAAAGAGTAACTTGGACTCTCTGCCAGTGTACAACAGAAGCCATTTTGGGTGAAGTACAATAATCCTTTCTTTTTAAATCTTTCTTTCTTTCTTAGTAAGTAGATACGCTTTTACGTTTTGATTCCTTTTTAGTATAGATACGTTTTTCAAAACACGCACACACACACACACACACACACACACACACACACACACACACACGCTTTTTTTTTTTAGCAGAGGTGAATTGTACAGCAGCTCTGGCATGCAGACCCAGTGCTAGAGCAAAAGTATTTGCTGAAGAATAAACTCCCTGTGGAGCAAAGGCTCTGCTCGACTCCAGCTCCCACAGGAAAGCAAAACTTTATTGGCACATGCCTCACTGATAGATAGACACATCTCATTTGCTGATATCACGGTCCAGCATATTATCTCAGCAAGTTTGCTGATGATGCAAAATAAAGATTAATTCTCACAAATGGGGGCTTTGAAGTAAAATGCAATAGCCTTGTATTTGAAACGTAGGCTATTGGTATAATATAACAACATAATGCACGGTGAAGTACAGAAAAGCAACCCAGATTAGCAGAGGATATGAAATATCATCTATAGCCTGGACATAGAAGGCCTATAATATATGATGAATAACAAAACTAGACTACTACACCTACAAATGATAAAAAACCACTACTAGTTACTAGTTATGAAAATAAAAATGGGCCTACTAATAATGAATAAAATAGGCTATACAATGTCATATATGGTGTGCAATATTTGCAAATGATTGGGGTGGCATGTGTGCGTGACCCATACAGACTGTAACCACACCCACCGCTGTGTAAAGGACTTCACACTCCCCACACTGCCCCCTGCTCATATCCAGGCCAGCGCGTGTCCGGGTCGCCACTGTCCCGACTCAGCATGTCTCCGAGACACACACCCGCGCTGCTCCTGCGTCTCTTCCCGCCACTGCTCCTGCTCCTCGCAGCGGGACAGCAGTGCCTCGCGGCTCGTCCGCTCCTCGTGTTCCTGATCGATGGGTTCCGTCATGACTACATGGATGATCTTCACGCTCTACCTGGATTTCGCGAGCTCGTGGGCAATGGGGTGAAAGTGGATTATATGACACCGGACTTCCCGAGTTTATCATACCCTAATTACTACTCATTAATGACAGGTATGCTAATCTATCTATCTATCTATCTATCTATCTATCTATCTATCTATCTATGTATGCTGTAGTGAGGGGCTGTCACTTTTTCTGTCCCCGTTGATGACAGCTGACAGGTTGCAGCTAGCAGCTGAGTCCTCAGATTTTTTTTGTAGATAGACAGCAGACTTTTGAACTGTTAAAATTTCCTATAGGCTAGAAAGTGACAGCTGTACTGTGGGAGGGAGGATTTAATGTGTTCTTAATGATGTTATTATATATGTTATTATATATATATTTTTGTTCTGTTCCTTGTTTGTCTGGTCACCAAAGCTGCTGTGTTATAACATGCTGTTTACCCAGGCAGAGCTTGCAAGGGACAATATCTGGTATCTAGTAGAGATTGTTGTATTGTAATATGGGCTGTAGTATTAATGAGTAACTACAGGGAAGATAGATTGCTGTCAGCTTGTAGTTTTTGTGTATATGACAAGTATAGTTATAGATAACCTCTTGCACTCCACCCCCATTTTGTGGCGAAAACGCCTAAAATGACATACCCAAATTAAAATGACTGTAGCCTCTGAACCGCTCTGACTACATGCATGCATGAGGTCTTGCCAGAAAGAAAACTCCCTGAAGTTTCTTGTGAAAGTGTCAGAAACGCTCCGGGTGATACAGAGACAGAGTAATGGGCCTCTGAAGTCAGTAAAAAGTTGAAGATTTTGCCTAAAATAAAATAAAATAAAAAATGATTTTCGGGATGAATAACTGTGTGTGGCTTCATCTGAGCAGGTAAATGACACTGTGGAGCTGTAGGCACACTATCAATGAATATCTGTTACTAATTTGAAGAAGATTGCTCAAAGTATGACCATTCTACAGTGTTTTGTCCATGCAAAGATCCGGGCGGAGCTCCAAATGACAAGAGCGCTCACTCGGCTTCAAAACAGTACTATCAGTGATCAAACAACACTCAGCCAGCTTCAAACATTGTACTTTATTGAAATCATGTGTGTTTATGATAGCTGATGTTGTTTAAGACACAGAAACACCATAAAATATCACCAAATAAAGCCATACGAAATGTGAAAGTTATGATCCCACTTTCTAGGCGTTATATCTCAGCCAAAAACAGTGGTAGGAGTGAGACTCTTTAACTTTTCCTGTCAAAAAACGGCATGACATGACTTGTCACCACTCATCGCGATTTTGGACTTTGTGTGTTTAGGCTGCTCTGGTGCGAAATCCATAAGAGATAAAAGAAAGAATCCGAATCCGATGATACCAAACATCACATGGTTTGATGACGTAGTGCGCCTGTGAGATACCATTTAACAGAGAAGGACGCCGGCGTCCGAGTGGAGTTAGATAACAGGAGTGTCTAAGTCAAGTTTTTGAACATGCGCAGATATTGCATGTTGTCTGGATTTACAACTGACTTGTACTTTGTCTCTGAGTGCTTTACAATACAGTATATCTGTATGCTAGAGAATAGATAAGAGATGCCCCAAATTGTTGTGAGTGTGAGTGATTACATGTGACACTGATAGTGAGTTTGACTGAAAGTTCTACATAATGATAGAGCTGCATGATTATGGCCAAAATGATAATCACGATTATTTGATCAATATTTAGATCAGGTTTATTTATTGCGATTGATTTTTGCATTGACTTTAGAAAAGAAATATTTTTTATTTTTATATACCTATTAGCAGTACAAAATCAAATAGAAGAAAAGCCCTTATGTAGTTCTCTGGGGAGTTCCCCATCAGGCAGCTCCTCTCAAGGGGTCCCCAGAACTGATGATATCAGTTTCAGATTGTGTGGTGGATGTCTGCTGAAGCGTTGTGCTACACATTAAATAGGTACAAAAAGCAAGCTGAGACAACATCAGTTTGCGTAATCTACCTCTCTTAAATTGCTGGCTGGGCTGTGACAGGGCCTTGTAATGCACATAAGTCCCATATGTGGAAACCAGGTGCAATGTTTTATCTATCCACCAGGAAAACCAGTGATTATGAAGCTGAAACAAGATATTGCAATCAGACTATTATAGCATAAACATTTTACTTCAAGTCTGCCCATTTCTTCTGGACATTGTCATTGAGCCAGTGCACCTGAAATTAGTTGGTAAGTGACAAGGTGCCAGACCATAAGAGAGACCAAGAGACCAAAGGAAAGCTACGAAAATCTCGGACACAGTGCCAACCCCCCCCGCAAATAGAGAAAATCTCGGGTTAGCTCTCACTTTAATTTAAGCTGGCGATACTGTTTATAAACAGTAGGGTAGACTGAGTACAGTTGAGACACTTTTTGCTTCTCCATTTTTGAACAGATATTGCACAAAAACTATACACTGAAAATAAGTGATTTTTCATATGCAGTTTAATTTGTTTGTTTATATATAAGTTATTATTGATGGATATCATTTATAAGTTGTTTATTTTTTCCACAATCAGGTCATAAACATGAGGTGCATTTTTACCATGGTACCCTCTCAACTATACCCCATATGTGTACAGTTGAGACAGTACCATGGTACAGTTGAGACACCTATTGAAACCCATTGATGATGACTGAACATCAATTGTAAATGCAATAAACTTTTTAAAAAAATGACAGTTTAACAAGATATTTCAATAAAAATTAAAAAACAATGGAATATTATTGTAATCAAGCAATAATAAAACACCAGCAATGCCTAAAATGTCAAGACCTGTGCTGGCACTCCCCTATTTGTGGTCCTAGCTCTGAAGTGGGGCATCCTGCAATAGGCATAGCACAAAAAGACAAACATAAACAAAAAAATCCATACAGGTTACACAATATAGCTAACATACACACACACATTGCATGCCTTTTTATTTCTGAACTCTGAAGTAGGGTAGGCTACACACATCCAATAAAGGCTGTATCAACTGTACCCGTTCTATCACCTTGCCTATTACACCACACGCTAAATTATCCTTATATCATTCATGGTTAAAAAGATGTCCATTAATATAACACAGTTCAAGTATCACAAATATTTATTTTTATTTTCATTTTCTTTGTTTGTGGTCTTATTATGACTTGTAACCTGTTATCTTTACGCTGCACAACTTAACAGCATATGATGTAATAGAACTCTATCACGGGTACAGTTGAGACATTGTGGGTATTTAGGGTGTTTCAACTGTACACATGTCTCAACTATACTCAGTCTACCCTAGCTGACAATTCCTGCTAGTATGCCTTTAAGATAATATAGTCTGACTTGAATGAAGAGCTAGGAAAAGTGATACACAATATATATGAAATCTGTCTTTGTGGTAGCCTATCTGTCCCGCTGCTTCTCCACCATGATTACACCTTGTTTCCACTTACGTAGTATGTGTACAGAAATGAGTCAGCTGGAAGTCTTCCTGTGGGAATCTCTGTGATATCCGATGTGCCTGTGAAACTCCTCCCCTCTGTAATTTTTCGGTCCGGACCAGCAAAATTTTGGGAGCACCCACCGTAATGTAAGAAGCACCGACAGTGTAATCGATTTTTTTTTATTCCAACAAAAAGTTGACATTATACTATATACATTACATTGTATGTGTATAGTACACTCATCATTAACAACTTTTTCAGTTGAAGACATTTTTAGAAAAAACACCACTGAACCACTGTGAATGAAAGAGAAACCTAAGGCAGGCACGTGGGCTGAATCCAAATGAATCCAATCAGTCAGATATAGTCAGGACTTCACATCTGTACAGATGTTATTTGAAGAATTCTCATATCCTACTGACCACAAGGCTCTGTGATGCTTATACTTCAATAATGAAAACAGTCCAATGTTAATATAAAGTAGACAAAATATAGTTTATGATACAGTTAAAATGGCCAAAAATATGAATAATTGCATTGCAGGACAATCTAAGGTGTGCCCCTGAATTTTCTGCTTGTGCTTCTAAAATTTTTCAGTTAGGGGCTACAGTGCTCCTACTAAAAAAAAGTTAGCCTGGAGCCCTGTAACCTCTCCCCTACTATATAAAAACATCAGTGTTGTTTCATTCCCCCCCTGCAAGTTTGCTACATCCCACAAGCCCTGAGCGCTTTCAGTCCAAAGCCTCCTACAGACTGTGAGATTTAAGCAGTGGTACAAGTTTAGTGCAGCTACACTGTGCAACATGGAACTAATAAACTTGGGTATGTCATCAAGTTTAATGTTTGCAGACTGTACGATGACAGCACTAACTGAATCGCAGGTTACGATTCAGGAAAAAGGCCCAGCAGAGGCTGTACTTCCTGCGACAGCTCAGGAAGCTCAACCTGACTCAGGAACTGCTGATCTTGTTCTACACAGCCATAATCCAGTCTGTTCTGTGCACATCCATCACCGTCTGGTTTGGATCTTCTACCAAACTGGACAAAAACAGACTAAAAAGGACAATCAGGTGTGCAGAGGGGATTATTGGGACTGATCTTTCCTCCGTCAAGGACCTGTACAGATCAAGGGTCAGGAAACGGGCAGGAAACTTCACTGTAGACCCCTCACACCACGGACAAAATCTGTTTAAACTCCTTGTAATGGTAATCATTGTCTGGTTTTCAAAGGGCACCCTGAACACAGCACACTGCTCCTGTCTTCATTACCAGTCACAGCAGGAACAGTGAAGCAGTCTGTTTGTCTTAATAGTTGTAGCTACTGTGGCTGTGACTTGCTGTGCTTAAACACATACAACACATTCTTCCTCACAGGACAGTTTCAGTTGAGTGGTGTTTATTAGTAATACTATGGAGATGGTATGCAGGGGAGTGGGCGGTGCAAATGACTTGTAAGAGCCTAAAGGCCCTTTTCCACTGAAGAAGTTCCTGGTACTATTTGGGGGGCAGGAACTACTACAGGAACGTCCTCTCGCTCGGCCCTCTCAACCGCCGTGTCTCCACTGAGAGAGCGGAGTAGGAGGAAGGCAAAGAGCATGGATACCCTGAGGCAAAGCTCAATAGAATGCCCCATAGCAACAGACTTGCCCATGGTTTCGTCCTACCGC